CTAAACAATTTGCGGACAGTTTTGTCTTTCTGAGTAATAGTCAGATGATCCTGCGTACGTGGAACTTGGTGTTTGTCATTTGCATTTACAATGCAAGTTCGAACTTAAACTAGGAAGGGGTTAAAAATATATATTTTGTCTCACTTCTACTTTCAACTCTGCAGAACAGGAGCTAGGGCTCCCCGGTGCTGCTCAGTGGAGTCCCTGTGTGTTGTGCCCCTGTGCAAGGGAATTTGGAGCGTTTTGTTGTCTTCCCCAGCAGTTCTCGCATTTACAAGAAAAAAAATCTTCTTGATGCCAGGTTACGCACGTGCTATCCTTGCCTGACCTTCTTGCTGAATAGGTAAAAGAAAAGCCTTTTCCCCTGCTCTCTCTTTCGAGGCCAGACCCAACATCTTTGTAACCACTGGCGGCTCTTTATCATTTACCATCAGCATGTTATTCATCACATACAATTTGTGCGAGCTCTGGTTCATACCATTTGTGCCATGTTTATAAATCAGTTTTTTATATTTTTTGTACTGAAAGAAATGGGAGCACTTTAGAAAAGTTTATTTCAAATTCCATTTCTGTTTGTACCTGGAAGGAAACCTCTCATGAAAGTAGATCCTGTTGGCATAACTGCATGAATCTCACTCAGAGCTGTGAACTCTCTTGATGCTCTTTAGTCTTAGGTCTGGTTTCTAGGCCCACCTTGCACTGTAAAGATTTAATAAATAATCATGGTCCATGGTTAAATTGACCATTTTGTTGGGGAAGTGTTCAGTTTTGTTTTTTGTTAGGGTGTAAACATTGTAAATAATTACTGTTGATACTGCAGTAGCAACATCTTTGTAGTCCTTATTTTATTTGTAAAGTTGATGGTTAAATGTTAATATTCTGTTGAATTGTGCACTCTTGATTAATTGTAAACTTGATCTTAGCACACCAAATGATGATTTTTACAATGATTGCAATGTTTCTCCACTGAAGGATTTCAGAGCTGCAATAGGACTGAAACCAACTTCTAGCAATAAAAAAAAAAGCATTTAAAAACTGACTGCCTTTATATATGTGTATATATATATATAATTATTTATTATTTTCTATTTGAACTAAAGATCAAAGCAGCAGCCGCTTCTCACGTGCTTCTCATTTCCTACCCTGGACAGAAATAACATGCCATGTGAACAAAACTCTGACGGTTTTCCAAAGGAGAGGACGGAGCACAGGAGGCGTTAAGTGGAGGATACTAATAGCTGCAGACCTTGCCAGTGAGGTGAGCACCCTAGGGAAAAATCAGCTGCTCTCAAAATGTCTGAACTCAGCATACTAGTGAGAGAGTGAACTTAACGAAGTTGCTTATATTAGCATGTAGGTACTTTGCATGGTGCCAGTCTGAGACATGCCTGGCTCTGTCCCAGACAGTATCGGTTCCCATTTGGAACAAGTGTAACAAAAATAGAAACTTTCTCCCTCGTGCTTGTGCCAATTTGGCAGCCCTCGCTCCCAGCCCCATCCCATAGCCTCGGGCTGGTGCAGCGCTTCCCAGAGTCCGGAGTCAGCAAGTTGCGTTTCCTGGTAAAATCCCCACTTGTGGCATACTGGCAAGCTAGCCCAAAAGCTGTAACCTCAGATAATTTCTGGAGATTAGAACAGATGCAGAACTGGGGAGAGAGGAGAACTGGGACTTGGATCGCTGCTCTCAAAGGAAGAGGTGTGATTTCGATCGTCAAAATCCTGGGCTGTAGCAGCCAGTGTTGAGGAAAACCCTCAGCCAGTTTTGGATGCGACAGTGCCAGTGGTGCAGTCTGGGAATCACGTTGCGCAGCGATAAGTCTCTGTATATCACAGCACCTTTGGAGGACCCGGGGTCTTTGGGTACAGAAGCCAGTAGAACGCAGTCTGCATTCGTCAGTCTCTGCAGTGCAGTTGACATCTGGGTTGCGGCACAAACTGGAACTCAGTTGGAAAAACACAAGTTTTTCTACTTTTCCAACGTATGTAAATAATCAAAAGCTGCTAGGCACACCAGTGCTTAAAATATGAGTAAGACTGATGTGTTAGCGAATGAAGTTTTAAAGTGTGTGTGTGTATAAGCATTTGCTTGCTCTTCCTTTAAGAGAATATTTCTTACATCTGCTGCTGCTCCGTTCAGCTCCCAGGGAGCTGAGCCGCAGTGGCCGCTGGAGGTCACTGCCTCTGTGCGCCTTCGCGTCTCATTGTCGTTGTCGCTAGAGCAGGGCGAGTGACTTCATGTCCATTTCTAAGTATTTTTCAGCAGCAAGAAATGGAATCGAAGTGTGATTTCGTGGGGGACAGCTGAGAGGGACAGTCTAGGACAGAAGTTACGAGGAGCTGCTTCCAGAGCAGTGGGTTTAATTTTTATTTTCTAATTGCACTGTAGTCTCCTGCAGCCATAATCATGTGTCAGACCAGTAGGAATTGTTTCTAGAAAGACAGAAGAGCCTGGGTCAGGGAGATCCAGGGTTAACGCGGCCAAGAGGGATCCCTGCAGCACCGATTCCCGCTGGGAACTGCCCGGTTGCAGCAGCCCAGAGCTCAGCAGGGGCAAGTTTAAATCTCGGGCAGAATTTGCATCTGTTAGAAGTCTGGTGCGGCTGCAGCCATCAGTGTTCAAGAGTGTGGGTGTTTCTGTGTTACGCTTCAGTTCTTGCCGCAACAGCAGGGCAGGCATTCCTTTGGTGATTGCAAACACCTTGACTGACAGTATCATTGATAACGCTGTCACTCGTCTATGAGACACATTCTCCGTTTTTCACAAGGAGGGTGTGATTTCAGGACGGACGGTGGTGCCTTCAGAGCTGTTAACTTGCTCATACCAGTATTCCAGCAGCTCCACCCTGCCTTGTCTCTCTTTAAAATCTGTAGCTAATTAACCCGAAACCCAAACCACATTCTTTCTATTTGGATGAATCATTCTGAGGCCATAGGCGATGACCAGCTTTATGCTAAACCTTCCTCTTTCATGTGGGTGAGACACGGCTGATGGTTCCCATACGTGCATCTGAGATTCATTGGCAAGCCAGATGCTCGAAGACAAATACGCGCAAAGGATATTGGCTCCGTAGTGTGCTCCGACAGTGGGAATGTGCCGTTTTCTGCATTTCCCTTTCCTCACCCCTGTGACTCAAATCCGGTTTAATTTCCCATCCCAGCGATGGGGCCAGCCCAAGGCTCAACAGACAAGGGACGAGGGGCCTGTCCTTTGTGTGGTGCCTACATTGTTTGCTGCTTCTGGGCCCATGGGATCTGGCAGAGGATAAAAGCCAAACCCTCTCAGAGCTGGCAGCGTTGGAGTGTGCGACGCGTGTTCCCTGGCTCTGGGACAGTGTCGCACGCCCAGGAGGCTCAAACACGGCGGGGGTCGCTTTGTTACGGGGCTCCATGCACACAGGAGCACGGAAAATCCTTGTTGAGCAGCACAATGTAGATGTGCCTTTCCCATGTCAGAGCAGCAGCTGGTGCCTTTTCACTGTATGGGGCACAGTGCGTTGCTAGACCCAAAGTTATCCCAGATGACTGCATGTGATATGCAAATTTTCAGGGGAATTTGGACAGGTAGATGGGTAATGTCCTTTTTCCCTTCTAGAACGTTTGAAGTCATCGACAAAATCACACTGCGTGTAGTCAGAGCTTTGTTTTTCCTGGGCTGCCACGGACTGTCATTGTAACAGCAGCGTGTACTCCAGTTCCTTGCTAGATGTGTGGTGGGTGTACTGCAGAACATCTGAATGGTCCACACCTGATCATAGCCAGAAGGGAATTTCTCAGCTACTGCTGTGCTGGTTTTTTTTTTTGCACTTAACAGCACTGGCCATCTACGGTGGAGAAGGGGGAACGGCTGTGCTGCCTCGGCACCCTGGCAGCAGGGGCTGCTGAGCAGAATGCAGCTACAAATGCGAGAAGCAGCGTATTTCACTTAAAATCAACGCTGGTTGTATATCTCGTGGCCAGGAGGGAGATGGGTCAGTCTGATGCTGTATTTCTCTGGCTGTGGTGCCTTGTAGGCTTTGTGTGAGAAGAGGAACATCCCACGGGAGAGCGATGTCATGCTTAGATTGTTTTGGCTTTGAGCCTAGTGAATGCCCGTATGTGTTGCCTCTTCCAGACGTGATGGTGGGCTGGGGTCTAGCTCCTGCAGCTGGAGGGGCGCAGCCCCGAAGCAGGGTTCTGGGCTAGGAGGAGAGGCCTACGTTTGAGCTATGTTGAGATTCTAATCGAATTCTATTAATTCAGGAGGATTTCTACCCTAGTAACCAAATTAACCCCTAAACCAAATTCACCTGCAGCCCAGTCAGCCTAAATCTTCTGGCCCTGGCACTGAAGTAGCGATTGGATCAGCGCATGGAAATGTCAAACTGGGAAAACAGGTCTGCTGGGGCAACGTCAAGCATGCAAGAGAAAAAGGTGTCTCGTTTTCCCCAGGGGTGCTCCCCGCTGTGCTGGGAGCTGGTTCCTGCCAGGAGGAGGCGAAGCTGGAGGGACAGCGCAGGGTTTTCTGCCAGGTGAAGGAGGATGAAGGCAATGAAATGCAGCTCTGGCTGTCTTTGTTGCCAGCAGTGTGGAGCCGCCAAGCCCAGGTGTGCTTGAAGTGCCGGTTTTCCCTGAGAGGTAGTTAGCTGTAAGTACAGTTTGAAATGAGGAAGCAACTCGCAGATGCTTGCAAAGGCTTCAGCAGCAGGGCCGCTCGCTCCCCTAGCTGAAAATGCCGTGAGCGTGGCTCAGATAACATCCCAGCGCCAGGAGCAGGAGGCAGACAGAGACCCATGTTGCTAGAAGCAACTTTGTCCCTGGTGCAAGAGCCGGACGTGGCTGGGAGCCAACGCTTATTGCTTGGCAGCATAAATAAAACAGCTGCTGCTCAAATGGCCATGAATGAAACCTCCGCTCCCCTGACTTGCTGAGCAAAGTCGGACTTTGTCTGACCCTCGGGAA